CCTATCCATGCATGGATAAATTGCTATACGGTATCGATTTTAGCCGTGCCGTGTCACGTGACGATAGCAAACGCGATTAGAATTTAATTATACATATATACTCATGTGAAATTGTTTGTTCCTTCTCAAGGCCGTCTTAAAATAGCAATTCAACTTGGCAATCGGCAATCAGCATCGAGAATCCACTGATGTTTTATATATATATATATATATATATATATATATATATATATATATATATATATATATATATATTATATATATATATATATATATATATATATATAATTTATATACCACTTAAAGTTATTTTCCAGAACAGAAAGTCCATTGCAGCTGCTAAAATTCAAATATTTGTTAAAAGTTGCTAAAACAGTCTTCAACGCGTACGTAGTTACGAAGCTTACTTTTAAAGAGCACTTTGCTCTGAGTGTAAACTTTCCAATAAACTGTCAATATATGCATGTGTCTGAGAGGTGAGGACCGCAAATAATGAGGCAAATTCATTTTCACCTAAATTAAAAGGCCATACCATTCTTGCGTAACGCTTTGGAAAAATTAGCCAGGATGCAAAATGCATTGTAGTTATTAGACAAGTAGAATTTTTTTTCAACGCCTTTTATACCAAACCCTTTACTGTGGGCGCACAGCTGTGCATGGACACGAAAATAAGGCAAATATCCAGATAAACAGAGCACCCAACAAAACATAAAAACTATATACTGTAAGTTTTCTTATCACAACTCTATCGATGGTTGTTGTCTTATTTGCTCTCGTCGACACATCAATCGTTTAAACAGGCGTTTGAAAGCTTCTCTGTACGTTTGGTCAAGACAGGCATAAATTATTGGATTACAGAGACTGTTAACAAGTGGTAGTGCGAAAACTATGGAGTGAAATAGGAGCGTCCATTAAAGGCGGCTTAATGAATTGCCATTGAAACTAAACACATTTGGATGGTAATAAAGCAGCCATGGCCAAGTCAACAAAGGACACCAACAAAATATAAAAGTCCCGACGACAATCAACAGCATTCTGACCACTTTCTTGTCTCGACGTAATACTGTTCGTTGGTTAATTGTTTGACCCAGTTCACCATTCGCGAGCATTTTGTTTCGTTTGTGAGCAACACGAAAAATGAGAGCGTACATAATCAATGTAATAGTTGTGGGTAAAATAAATCCAATTGTTGATAAAACAAGGTAAAATAGTTTTGCGTGATCAGCGCCAAAATCGCAAACGCTAGACCCTGCCTTCAAAATTCCAGTGGTCCCGGAAGAATACGGAGTGACGGAGTAAGTGGCAGGGGTAATGGAAATGAGAACGATGACGAAAATCATTTTCAGTGATCTTGAAGTTGTCATTCGTGATCTGTACAGAAGAGGTTTGCTGATTTTGAGATATCAGTCAAAACTGATGAATGTCAGTGTAGAAACAGAAGCTATTGTCGCAACTATCTCTGTCCAAACTATAAAACGACAAAGATGAATTGATTTTTCTTTCGGTCGATTAAAACCCAGAAATTTCCGATACGCTCGCAATGGATCTACAACCATAGACCAACCAAAAGATCAGCGACAGCCAGACAAGCGATGAAATATTTATTTGGTTGATGAAGTCTTCTTTCTCTCCAGGTCGCAATCAACACCAAAGTATTTCCAAGAATTGTAAATATTGTGATCAAAATTAATATGATTTTCTCGCCGAGACGAAGTTGTTCCAAAGAGTCAGAAAATTTCACCCAGTCGTTGCTTGTGAGCCAAGGTATCTCTGTTTGATTTGTATAATTGTGTGTCGCAGTTGCATTTTTTGTCGACATCATTGGAAATTGTGACCCTGCATGAAATATATGAAATTTTCCTTAAAGAACTTTACAAATTTATGACAAAATTCAGTGCTGGCGAAAACCGGGAATTGAAATTCGTGATGTTTGGGAACAGAAAAAGTGAAGCGAAAATCCGCACCACAATCCCCCTCCCCCCCCCGTCCTCTCCTACGCCAGCGCCTCAACTGCAAACCGAGTATTGCCCTTTTTACGAACTTTGACTCTCAAATCTATGTTATCAAAGCCATATACGACTATACGTGTCTTTTAAGCATGGTTCTCATACGTCACCGACAGTCGGCGGTGTACGTATTGCCGACTTTATGAACATAAATTTACACCACTGAAGTACATCTTTCATTGTGAGACTAATCAGGCTGCAGGTATATGGGTCCGCCAGCGGTCAGGTGTCAGGGTTTTGTTAATATCGTTGTAAAATATACTTCAATCCCAAATGCATGGATGGTATACGCACGTTGACATACCTTTTGTTTAATCCTATGAATGTTTTACTACTTTACCTTAAGTGAGCAAATCCTCGCTTAAAAGCCTAAAACCTACGAGACGTTCAATTCTCTATATTTATTTATTTATTCATTAAGTTAATTCTTTCCTGAACGCCAAAAACGCCCAAAAATGCTGTTGTTAAGTTGTCCACATTTCACGAATGAATGGGATCAGTCCAAGCATTGTCATGCGGCTGCGAAAACTGACAGTCTGTTTCGCTTAGATGCCTTTTTAAATACCGTTGTTAATGCTTTTATCACACGGAAAGCGAGGCGTATATATACAGGACTCAGTCTTTCTGCTAATCTGACTATATGTAGAAGGTCGTTAATGCATGTTATCTAAGGTGAGAAACATTCTGCGTCAGTTTCAAACTGATGAAATGTAATGAAATGTAACCAATGCCTATATATACTTGCAAAGTCGCAGAAATTGGTAAATTTAGTGATTCTAAAATGGCTTATAATTTATAAATGATTAGCTAGGAGTTTATTAACAAGACCAAAGCCGCGGAGAAGTGTTATGCATCCCAAGCACCATGCACCCCCCCCCCCTTCTGTTCACGCCAGTTTCTACGGCAAACTTTTTGTTTCAACTCTACTATATCTTTAAGCGTGCAACAATTTTGCTAAATTACAAACGTTCTACATAAAACTCGTGATGCTCAACAGTGATGTAAGAAAGCAAAGCCAATTGCTGTTGTATTTAGCAAGGTAAATTCAGCTTCGCGCTGTATGTTTCACACATAAAATTTAATGCTTGGACGGCTATGAGTGTGTGCAATCGTTCAAACGTGACGATTTATACGGCAAACGTGAATAAGTATATACATCAGAAATGGCCTCATGCTTTTGTATCTTTTTGCTGAACATCACGATTTTTATGTAGAACGTTAAACGTTTGTAATTTAGCGAAATTGCTGCACACTTTAAAGTTAGTGAAGTTAAAACACAAAGCTTGTTAGCGGTTTGGCGTTGGCCGTAAACGCCAATCTTGAGGCCAGCCTCTACTGCAGCTGTATATTCGACCGTCAACATGCAGCCTAGCGCAATTTAATGGAGGTTCGGTAAAAATCGTAGTAAGTGAAGTTCGGTAAAGATCATGGGCAGGCCCCAGATCTGCTTTACAATATATAATGTAAGGATCACATAAAGATGATCAAGCAAGAGTCGTCCCCTATACAGGGTGTCCCAAAAAAGTCCCCTCAATTGAAATCAAGCTTTTGTTAGCAAGACGCTTTATTTGAATGCCTCAACCTAATAACTATGCTATTTACACACTACTGCGTTGATCATGCATTCAAATTCCAACAAATGATTCATTTCAATTGAGACACCCTGTATAGAATTGTAATACAAGTATACAACATTTTAACACTCTAACGGAAAAATTATGTGGCCTGGGTAGATCATAAATACCTCGATATGTGGCTCTTTCTCTTCTGACTTCAACTCGGCCAACTTTTAAAACAGAACTCCAAGGTTCTGCTAGTCGCTTTCTTAACTCTTGTAAAATTAGAACTTAAAATGAGCTTTCACAACGCCGGCTATACGCGTGTCTTTTAATTAAGCGCTGTCGCGACAAAATTATTTCGTTTACGTTTTAACACTTTTTTTTGTACTTTCTGGGTATAACCAATCAGATCCCATGAACATGCATGCGTCATTCTTTATTGAGCGTATATATTCATTTAAAACTTGACTAATACTATGTCCCACAACGTTATATTTATTGATGGAAAAGGAAACGATATTTGTGGGTACAAAATGTAGTTTAATATATATTTCTTGTCATTTTACTTTTAGTAGTTATGTTGTTATGTTAAAGCAGTTATGTTGACGTAAAGTCTGACAACTAAAAATTACAACTTATTAACTTACATTATATGGTTTTTCAGTTAACTGTTTAATATTTCAAAAGAAAATTTCCTTGAATCATTTGGGTCGGCTGTATAAAACAATTAATCATTGTCTTGCGGCTGAAACAGGCAGGTCCTATCCACGCATGGATAAATTGCTATACGGTACCGATTTTAGCCGTGCTGTGTCACGTGACTATAGTGTAAACACGACTAAAATTTAATTACATACATATATATATATATATATATATATATATACTCATGTGAAATTGATTATTCCTTCGCTAAGTTTGACAAGGCCGTCTTAAAATAGCATTTCAACTTGGCAGTCGCCAATCAGCATCGAGAATCCACCGATTTTTTTATATTTACCACTTAAAGTTATTTCCCAAAACAGAAAGTCAATTGCAGCTGCTGAAATTCAAATATTTTGAAAGTTGCTAAAACAGTCTTCAACACGTACGTAGTTACCAGTCTTACTTTTAAAGATCACTTTGCTCTGAGTGTAAACTTTCAAACAAACTGTCAAAACTGTCAAATATGTGTCTGAGAGGCGAGGACCGCAAATAATGAGGCAAATTCATTTTCACCTGAATTAAAAAGTCAAATCATTCTCGCGTAAGACTTTCGAAAAATTAGCCAGGATGCAAAATACATTGTAGTTATTACCCAACTAGAATTTTTTTTTGAACGCCTTTTATACCAGATCCTTTAGTGGGCGCACAGCTGTGGGCACGAAAATAGGGCAAATATCCACATAAACCGAGCAACTCAACAAAACATAAAAACTATATGCTGTAAGTTTTCTTATCTCAACTCTATTGGTGGTTGTTGTCTTCTTTGGTCTCGTTGACACATCATTCGTTGAAACAGACGTTTGAAAGCTTCTCTGTACGTTTGGTCAAGACAGGCATAAATTATTGGATTGCAGAGGCTGTTAACAAATGGAAGTGTGAAAACTATGGATTTAAATAGGAGCATCCGATACGCCCGGCTTAATGAATCGCTATTGATAATAATTAAATTTGGATGGTAAATAAGCAGCCATGTCCAGGTAAACAAAGGACCCCAGCAAAATATGAAAACTCCAATGACAACCAACAGCATTCTAATCACTTTCATATCTCGACGTAATGCAGTCCGTTGGTTAATTGTTTGATCCAGTTCACCATTCGCGAGCATTTTGTTTCGTTCGTGAGCAACACGAAAAACGAGAGCGTACATAATCAATATAATAGTTGTGGGCAGAAGAATCCCAATTATTAATAAACAAAGGTAAAATAGTTTCCTTTTTTCGCCATCAGCGCCAATATTGCAAAAGTTAAACTCGAACGTTAGAATTCCATCGGCCCCTGAGTCGGGAGTGGCGGAGTAAGTGGCAAGCGTAATGGAAATGAGAACGATGACGAAAATAACTTTAAGTGATCTGGAAGTTGTCATTCGTGATTTGTACTGAAGTGGTTTGCTGATTTTAAGATATCTGTCACAACTGATGAATGTCAGTGTATAAACAGATGATACTAAGGCGAAGGTGTCTATCCACATCATAAAACGACAGAGATAATAAGGGATTGAAAATAAAGCTTCGATATTGAAATCGAGTAGATACACCTTCAGTGGTGCTAAAAACAAACCAACCAAAAGATCAGCGACAGCCAAACAAGCGATGAAATATTTATTTGGCTGATGAAGACTTCTTTCTCTCCAGGTCGCAATCAACACCAAACCATTTCCCAGAATTATGAATATAGCGAGGAAAATTGATACAATTTTCTCGCCTAGTGAAAGTCGTTCCAAAAATGCTCTCAGTTCCAACAAATAACTTTCTGTCAGCCCAGACATTTCTGTTTGATTTGTATGATTTAATGTCGCAGTTATATTACTTGTCAACGCCATTGCAAATCCTGACCCTTATGAAATAGATAAAAACACAATCTCTTCAAATGCACGCACAAAAAATGAAATTTATAGTGCTGAAAACAGTAGCGATATTCTTAATTTTTATATTTATATAAATTTTAAGATTCCAACTTTGTCTTAGAAGTATTATTGCAATAATATGTATCTATTTGAGGTTACTGTTCACCCACTTGTTTGAGGCGAGTATCTCAGTCATTTTGTCAATGAGAAGACTGCGTGAAGAATGTTTAAAACTTGATCTTAGAAATCCACGTATTTGTCAATTCGTTTTCAAGTTTCTCGGCGCGTTCATGAAATGTCGTATCCTAAGCCTCTCCCCCGCTCTAACGCTAAGGCCTGACCTGGCAGCTGTTTGATCTTCAAAAAGCCGTCATGGCCAAGCGCAATATTTCATTGAAGTTCGGTTGAAATGGATAAAAATTTCCAAACATTTATGGCGGCAGCCTTTCTAAAATTGAGGGCTAATATACAGTATATAAATCCTGGAAAATTGTGAGAACATACTTATTGTTTTCTATATTGCAAGATGAAACAGATAATTATATTAACCAGCCACATGCAGCCCTCGAAGCAAAGCTGACAAGATTCACAAGTGGAATCTTTTTTGTAAGCTTGTCGTTTAATTTTACCTCGTTTAACTTCGTCTTTAAATATTTTCGTAGTGCAGCTTTCTCTCCTCTTCTCTTAGTTCGATAAACTCTTATAAACTCTAAAGTTCTGCTAATTATAGATTCAGGCTGTTCTTACACGTTTTGACTTTGAAATGGCTGTTTTCAAAACCTATACTCTCTTTATATAAACATAAATTTGCATTAAAATTGCATCTTTCATTGGGTGACCAATCAGGTGGCATGAAGATGCGTCACCAACGTTACCAACCCTAATGTCTTTAATGAAAATTAAATGAAATGAAAAATTAAATACCAACTATTAGCTGTATAGGCACTTATTGAAACTGTTTAATTAAGCTGCTTTTCAGTTAACGGTAAACGATTTAATATTTCACAAGAAATGCAATACGACACGGACTGAGACTTGCAAGTGGAATCTTTTTTGTTAGCTTGCTGTAGTTCAATTCCAACTCTTTTAACTTCGTCTTCAAATATTTTCGTGGTGTAGCTCAGTCTCTTTCCCCCTCTCTCAGTTCAGCTCTTTTAAACTCTAAAGTTCAGCTGATTAAATTCAAGCTTTTCTCACATGATTTGACTTTGAAATGGCTGTTTTCAAAACTTATACTCTCTTTAATGAAAATTAATTTAAAACCTGAATAACGTTGGTCAAAACATTATATTTTATTGTTGGGTTTAAAAATGCATGGAAACGAATTTTTGGTTCAAAAAACGTAGTTGAATAAAAAATTTCGGTTTAGTGATGTCGAAAATTTCATTACAGCAGTGCAGATCTATCACGCAATTATTGAAAATGTTTATCATGTTTAATTAAGCTGCTTTTCAGTTAACGGTAAACGGTTTAATATTTCACAAGGAATGCAATACGATCGGACTGATATATTGACCAATCATAACCCTCGAAGCAAAACCGACAATAGACTTCTCCACGTTTCAACCTGAGGGCCTTCGTCAGGAGAGTTAGTGGGACTCATAGTTCATACTAACTCTCCTGACGAAGGCCCTCAGGTAGAAACGTCAAGAAGTGTTTTGTCTATTTTAGGCAGTTGTTATACCACATTTGATGCTACTTGGATCAGGTATAGCAGACGCTTTATAATAACGTCTAATGTGATTGTGCACTAATTGAAACATGAGCAAGAGTGTTTTATCCTGTATATCAGATCTACTCTTGTTTTAAATAAGTGGTTGAAAAAGTTAATCAAAGTTGAAATTTATTCAAATCAAGCAAATTACAAATTTTTATTACATATAACGATACCATCTAGAAATGTATTTTTAAAATTCTTTCTCGTAAACTGTTTTCGTTAACCTTTTTAGTATTTCCTACATATACTTCTTAACCTAGCTCCGTCAACTATTATATTATTACAACGATTATAGTTTTTTAGCATTATAATTACTACATTTTGATCTATATATATATAGGAATTACCTGAAAAATCACCAATGTATATATACAATGCCGTTTTACTGAATTCAATGAACTTTTACGTGACTGCAAAAGTTTTATCATTTACTGAAAGTGGTTTAGGATCTAGTCTGGAAATATATAATATATCCACTTTTCTGCAACATCTATAATTAACCTTTTTATTTTATTTTCCCGCTAACAAAGTTCCTCATATCGCAAAATGCATGACTATAATAGGTATAATGAACATAAAAATGACCTGTTCAAGTCCTTAACATGAATGGGTTTCCGTCTCATCACAGCTACATGTAAAAATGTGACTGTAAAATGAAATCATTTACTTCAGTCATATATAGAGAGCAGTGGCAAGATTTATGCTCAGAAATCGATGAGCGAATTCATGAAATTTGACGGTGCATTCAGAGAACTAACCCAAAAGAGGCCTAATTACTCGGGCTACTGCGGGAGCCGAGTCTACGTTTCGCGATTATTATTCTTCTTTCTTGTGTCGCAGCATAGACAATCCAGAAGACAAATTAGTTTTCTGGATTGTCTATGGTCGCAGGACTATAGTCCTCCGCGCGGACAGTCGCGTATTTACAATTTTTCAATATAGCTAACTTTCAGTGCAGCGTATTTACCGTCTACATGGCCCGAGTTAACGGCTACCGAGCGACTTGTTTTAAAATGAAATTTTATACATAGACCGCTGTGCAAGTTAACTTCATGAAGATTTCTTTATCAAGCTCGCAGGTTTTGTAATTCTATTGGTGGTTGTTGTCTTCTTGAATCTCGTCCGCGACACATCATTCGGCGAAACAAATTTTTAAAAGCTTCTCTGTACGTTTGGTCAAGACAGGCATAAATTATTGGGTTACAGAGACATTTAACAAATGCAAGTGTGCCCAGGATAAAAAGAATAATTAAGTCCCGGTACCAGTCGTTTAATGAATTGTTATGCCAGTCAGGCCAAGGATGGTAAAGAAACACCAACGTACTAATAACCGAAGGACCCCAGCAAAGTAAGCAAACTCCAACGACAACCAACAGCATTTTAATAACTTTCATATCTCGACGTAATGCAGTTCGTTGATTCTGATCGTTGATTGTTTCGCCCAGTTCACCATTCGCCAGCATTTTGTTTCGTTTGTGAGCGACAAGAAAAATGAGAGTGTACATAATAAAGATGATAATTACAGGCAGAAAAAACCCAAGTATTAATGAAACAAGGTCAAATACTTTGGATTTGTTTGTGATAGAGTCAATGTCATAGCTGCAAGGTCCGCCCCCTGCGGTCGAAACTTCCATTTCTCCAGAATTGGGAGTAGCGGAGTAAGTTGCAAAAGCAGTTGAAATGAGAACAATGGAGAAAATTATTTTTACTGATCTGGAAGTTGTCATTCTTGATTTGTACTGAAGTGGTTTGCTGATTTTAAGATATCTGTCAAAACTGATGAATGTCAGTGTATAAATGAATGTCGTTACCTCAAAGGTGCCAATCCACACCATGAAACGACAGAGATGAATAGGGATTGAAGATTCTGATTTAAGTAACATAGATAGAGTATACACGTCGACTGGTATTGTGATTAAACCAGTCAAAAGATCAGCGACAGCCAAAACAGCGATGAAATACTTGTTTGGTTGATGAAGACTTCTTTCTCTCCAGGTTGCAATCAACACCAGCATATTTCCCAGAATTATGAATATGGCGATCGAAATGAATACAATTTTCACGCCCAGGAGAAGTCGTTCCAAAAATCCTAACAGTTTCAACGCATCACTTTCTGTCAGCCTAGACATCTCTGTTGGGTTTGTAGAACTTAGTGTCGCAGTTATATCACTTGTCGACGTCATTGCAAATCCTGACCCTTTATGAAACAAATAAAAACACAATCTTTTCTAATGCACGAAGTTATTAAAAAAGTGAAATTTATTGTGATGAAGATCGAGCGACGACAACAGCAATATATTCTTATTTTTTTATTTATATTTATATTTTGAAGTTTCTAACTTAGGCGTGTATTAATTGCGATAATACAAGTAACGCTGGCTTTCTGACGTGAGTGTTAACCCCCTTCTTCGAAGCGAGTATCTCAGTCATTTTGTCAAAAAGCAGACTGCGTGAAGAATGCATATAAAACTTTATCCACATTATCAATTCTTGTTCCAGATTCCTGGTCCGACCATGATATATCTCATCTTAAGCCCCTTCTCGCTATCAAACTAAAGGCCCTTTTCACTCAACGCAAAAACCCACCAATGCTCTCGCAAATTTGGGGGAAGGGTGCATATTCATATATTCGTCTGATGCCCAACTGATCTCTTTTGTTAGCTACTGTTCCTACGGTTGTACGAACATGAATATACCTGTATGAGAACTTTCGCAGCGAGTTGGCCATTGCGATAAGTGGAAAAGAGCCTTTTTAAGGCGTGAACATGCATGCAGCTGTATGATATAGTCAGAAAACCGCCAAGCGCAATATTTTATTGAATTTTGATTGAGATAAAACCCCCGAAGGAAAACAGACAAGACTCTAAAGTGAAAATTATAATTGACATCCAAAGTAAACCTTTCATTGGGTGACCAATCAGGTCGCAGATATATGATGGGTCATTTCGCGATCAGGTGCCAAGGTTTTGTCATTATCATTGTCACGTTACTGTACTGACTATCCTGCTCACGAACTTAAATATTTCTCGACATCACTGTGAATTAGAAATTTTTAGCTGCATGTATATTATTAGTGTAGAACTCACTTTGTTTGTTGTAACCCAACTTATATGTTAAACCGGCGTTAAGCTGTATAGTACTTAACGATGTATAACCGAATTCGTATATTAGAGACGGAAACTTGTCGTAGAGAAACTCGTCTGAT